TTTCTTCCTCATTCTCCTCTCCTCCCCCTTCTCTCGTTCTTGTCTTTCCTATTTATTCTCTCTGCCTGCCAGTCCTGCCTATCCTTCTCCTGCCTAGCTATTGGCCGTTCTGTTTTTTATTAAGCCAATCAGGTGCCTTAGGCAGGCAAGGTGAAACAAATGAAACTCATCTTTACTTAGTTAAACACACGTCCTCATATTGTTAATCAAATGTAATACACCTTTATACAGTTAAAGTAATATTCTGCATCATAAACAAATGTAACACATCTTCGCCTAGGTAACATAATATTCCACAACAATTCGATCTGTTGGCTGCAAAGTTTTCCTCCAAGAATAAGAAGTAACTTCTTATAAGGTTCTTCTGTAAGGTTTTCTGGTTTTGTTTGTGGTATGTGTACATGTGCAAATGCTCATGTGTGTGCATGTAGGGGCCAGAGACCAATCTCAGATGTTGCTTAGGAACCACCTATACCATTATTATGATCATTGTTGTTATTATTATTATTATTTATTTGATTACTTTTGAGACAAGGTCTTCCACTAGGTCCTAGGGCTCCACAGCTAGGCTAGACTGGCTGGCCAGCAAGCCTCGGGGGTTCTTTGGTCCCTACCTCTGCAGTGCTGGGATTACACACATTCTACCACACCCAGCATTTTACCTGGATGCTGGGGCTTAAACTCAAGCCCTTGTGCTTAGACAGTGGCTGAGCCATGTCCCCAGCCTCTGAACTGACTTCTGTAGGATTTCATGTTTTTATTTTTTGACAATTTCATACATACACATAATATTTTTTGATCACCTTCACTCCCCCACCCCCCTGCTCTCCCCTCTTATCTCCTTCCTCTCTGTTTTCACCCTTCCTCCTTCTCAACAAGTCTTCTTCTGACTTTCATGGGTTTTTATTTTTTTAACGAGCCACTGAGTTCAATGAGAATTGCTTAAATGAGCATGGATTTGGGGCTACCGGCATATCAATAACTTAACCAGTGGTGGCACCTTGCAAAAATGGTTCCCTTTCTCCAGCAGCTGTTAATATCTATTACCTTCTCAACTAGGGGTGGCCATGCAGGAATCTTGTGCAGGTAACTACAGCTGCCGTGAGCTCCTGAGTGCGATGACCGTGTCCAGAAGACAGCCTTTCACAGCCCTGCCCCTTACATTCTTTTTGCCCTCTCTTGCCACATGATCCTTGAGTCTTGGGCTGGGGTGGTGATATAGATGTCTGGTTCAGCGTACTTTGAGTTTTATATGCAAGTTCTTTCCTGATCTCATAAAAGCCTGGAGCCAACTGGCCTTGCAGTGGGTTGGGTCTTGGACCACCAGGTGTTTGTTGCTGGTGACCACATTAAGCCACAGATAACAACCCCTTCCTCACTTTCTCCTGGCTGCTGGCCGCTGGATGACACCTTGTATCTCAGATGCATTTCTGTCAAAAACTGATGCATCTTCGAGTGGACAGAGTGGGGAATAATCTTCCTCCCAAGGAGTGAATGTGAAGATGAGAAGCTGATCCTGTGACTTTCTTCTTAGAAAAGTTTTTCTAGCCGGGCGGTGGTGGCACACGCCTTTAATCCCAGCACTCGGGAGGCAGAGGCAGGTGGATGTCTGTGAGTTCGAGGCCAGCCTGGGCTACAGAGCAAGTTCCAGGACAGGCTCTAAAGCTACACAGAGAAACCCTGTCTCGAAAAACCAAAAAAAAAAAGTTTTAATATTAGCATATATTATACACAGTAGTGGGTTTCATCATGACATTTTCATATATGTATATCATACATTTGATCACGTTCATCCCCCATGTCCCCTCTGTCACTACCCACTCCTGATGATCAACCTCATTCCAAAGAGTCCCCCTTTTACTTTCATTTCCTTTATTTTTGTTGTTGGTGTTGTTGTTATTATTATCATTATTATTATCTCAACTGTATATGTGTTTGGCCTGCATGTATGTTTATGAGCCACCTGTGTGCTTACCTGTAGAGGCCAGAAGAGTGTGCCAGATCCCCTGGAACTAAAACTAAAGTTACAGATGTTTGTGAGCCATAATGTGGGTGCTGGGACTTGAACCCAGGTCCTCTGCAAGAACAGCCAGCGCTCTTAACCACTGAGCCATCCTTCCTTCCTTCTCTCCCTCCCTCCCTTCTTCTCTTCCTTCCTTCCTCCTTCCCTCTCCCCTCCTCCCTCCCTCCTTCCCTCCCTCTCTCCCTCTCTCCTTCCCTCCCTCCCTCTCTTTTTTGGTGAACCAGTGAGTTTCATTAGGATTGCTTACAGGAGCATGAGTACCTTGCCAGAGACTCCAGAGTAAAGCCACTAGGCACTGTCAAATGTGAGTGTTTGGGGTTGAAGCCTTCAGGACTTTGTGAACACCCCTCTATGGAGACTTGTTGGACTTGTTTAACTTTAGGACAAATTGGCAAGCATGTTCTCAGTGGGGTTATGCCTCTGCGTGTTTGAGAGTTCAGGGAATTTCACACACGCACGCACACACGAATGCACGCACACATGCCCGCCCGCCAGTGTTTGCGGTTTAGTGCTTTGTGCTGTTTGAATGGGTTGAAGTGGGCTCTGCAGCTTTTATTTACACTCCGGGTGACTGATATTGTCCCACATGTTTCCGGATGTGTGTTGGCCATCTGCACATGGCCCTTTGTAAAAGGCCTGGTGAGTCTTTGTTCGTGGTTAATGCTGTCATCTGTGTTAATTGTTGAGATGTAAAATTGAACCCTTTGTCAGTTATCTGTAGCAAATGGTCTGTCCCAGTTTGACCTTCCCTCCCCTCCCCTCCTCTCTCCTTTCCTTGCCTTCCCTTACCCACCCCTCCCTTTCTTCCCCCTTTTCTTTTTTTACTTCTTTACTTTGGACATCTTATGTTGTCTAGGCTGGCTGAAAACTTGCTGTGTAGCTAAAGCTGGCCTTGAACTCCTGATTCTCCTGCCTCCACCTTCCAGGTGCTGGGGTGTCAGGTGCTCCCCACCCAGCTTCCCTGCCTAGCCACTTTTGATTTGCAGAAGGAAGGTTATCACCCTAATGAAGCCCATTTGTCAGGGTTTTTCTTTGATTGCTATGGTCTGTGTCCTCTGCAAAGCTCTGCCTGTTCCAAAGCCGGTACCAAAGCCGGTACCTGGCCCTTTCTTATTTCCTGCTTGTGGCTTCATAGTTTGAACTTTGTCTGAGTCCCATGTTTCACCTTGGGTGTAATTGGTGTGTGGTCCGAGGTATATATCAGGGTTCACGTTGCCCCCACATGAACACCCAGTTGTTTTGTCAACATCTACTGGGACGATTTTCTTTCACTCAGTCGGCTCTTGGAGGACTCACCCACTTTGGACTTCTATTACAATCCATCCATCAGCCAGCATGCTTATCTGCTTTCAGATGCACACAGTCCTGATTTATGGTGATGATAGCTGGGGTCTTAAAATGTAGACTGTTTGATTGCTCTGGCTTATCTAGACCTTTGCGTTTTCTTTTACATTTCAGGATGTGCCCATTCATTTCTACCAAAGGGCCTCATGAAATTTTGATAGGAATTGTATTAAATCTATGCATCAATCTGGGGCAAATTGAAACCCCAGGAGTAGCAAGTTTTCTAGTGGACGCTTATAGTTTATCTCCACAATTATTTAAGTCTTATCTCCTCTCAGTAGGTTTTCAAAAGCAGTTTCCACATCTGCATAGGATGCTTTAAATTCTTCCCTACATACTTTCAGTCTTAAAATACGCTGTAAAGAATATTTCAGAGAAATTGTCTCCCGGTGGCCTGCCGCTGCCCTCCAGACACGCAGCTGATTCTGTACCTGACCTTGCTCCTTGCTGCACCTCCCTCACCATGTATTTTATTTGGTGCTTTATGACTTTTCTTTCTTATGCACCCAGCCACCTGTGGTTCCTGCAGCCACCTGCAATTCAGGTGTTATTACGATCATATTTCATAACACATTTATGTCAAGTGTGCTCATTTATTTTTCATGCTGTTTTAGTTAGGGTCTCTGCTGCTGTAATTAAAAACACTGACCAGAAGAACTCGGAGAGGAAAGGGTTTATTTGGCTTATGGGTCACAGTCCACTACTTAAGGAAGTGAGGGCAGGAGCTCAAGCAGGAATCTGGAGGCAGGGATGGAAGCAGAGACCACAGAGGAATGCTGCCTACTGGCTGGCTTTCAGGGTCGTGTTCAGGGCCTTTTTTATAGAACCCAGTACACCCTGCTAGGGACGGCAGCAACTCACAGTTGGCTGGGTCCACCTACATCAGTCAGCAATCAGGAAAATGCCCACAGACACACCTATGGGCCGATCTGGTGGAGTGAATTCCTCGATTGAGGTTCACCCTTCCCTGCTGTGCTAGGATTACCCCTTACCTATGTCATGCATTTTGATAAGAGGGGAGGGGCTTAATTTAGCTGCAGTCTTACTGCAAGGCCAGTACCTTTCCACGCTGCTGGGCTGTGCCAGTCCTTGGATGTTTGGGTATTGAGTGGAGTGATACCTGGGGTTTTCCCTCATCCTGCTGGGCATCTCTGTGTCATTTTCAGAGGCCCTGACTTCCCAGTGGCATCCGTTCCAGGTGCACCTAACCTTTTGACATTGCACTGGGATACTGTTGTCTGCAATATTCACACTCAAGAACCCTACAATTCATTTACAAAAAATTCCAGCATGGATGGGGGAGGGACTGAAGAGGCCCCACCCGTATTGGAGGAACCACTGATAGATGATGGCTGCTGAGGGGGGAGAACCATTTTCCTTTGGGGACATGGCTTCTGGTAGGTTGCTCATGCCTTGGTGGATGGGGTTATTAATAACAACAACAAAAACAAAAAGACAGGAAGTTGGAAAGGAGACAGGGCGCAGGCACTAGAAAGAGGTAGAAGGTGGTAGTCATGGATGGATATGATCAATATACATTGTATAAATTTATGGAACTTTCAAGAATACAAATGCTATTACAAATCACACTCACAGTATCTCCTTTCTCCCTCTCTCCCACCCTGTGCTGCAGGAAGCCACTTCTGTACAGCTAAGGAGCTCATGGAGGAGATTGGGGCGCTGTCGTCAGAGCGGGAAGGGCTAGAGTCGCTCCTGGGCAGACTGCTGGCCCTCAGCTCCAGGAATGTCAGAAGGCTGGGCAGTGTCAAAGAAGACTACATCAAGTGCCGACAGGACCTGGCACTCCAGGAAGCTGTCCACAGTGAGTAGTCCCCAGCCATAGCCTCAGGACAAGTTAATGATGACGTTATTGGATCGTGTGGCCAGATCACCTCACTGTGACAAGGTCACAGAGCACCCAGCCAGTTCATGGGGGCCATTGCTGGCAAGAGCCTTGGACAATGGGGTGGGGTCACCTATCAGAGTTTGCTTTGCTCTTCGGCTGGGACAGTTTCCCTTTCTCTGAACTTTCCCATTTTCTTCTCTGCATTTGCTGATGGACTTGGTGGGCTGCGGAGCTCCCTCCCTTGGGTGCGCATCCTGAGCTGAAGGTGTCGTTCCCCCCCCCCCCCCCCCCCCCCCCCGGTTCCGTCTTCCAGGGTGCAGGTCACAGGCTGACGCTGAGGGTTGAGACAGGAACAGGGAGTGACTCTTTTGTTGGGGTGTCCTCGGAGGTTTGATTCTCTCCCCAGGAGAAGGACAGAGGTGACACTGGTGTCACCTGTGCCCAGGTGTTGGCAGGCCAGAGGGGCTAACACGATATGTGCCCTATGTTCCATTTAAGAGAACTGGTGTCACCTGAATGTTCCGTAAATTGATGACAGGGAAGATTAGTGTTCAAAGTCCAAACGAGAAAATGTAACTCCAGCTGGCAGAGGTTAGGCATGCCATTTTGGGATGATCAAACTAGGTTTTAAAGTTCTGCTGAATTGTGTGAGGTGTGGCTTCTCCCAGGTTTGAATCAAAGAGATGGTCAGTGGTCATGGGGTCTCTAGCCAGTGAAGCCTCAGCTGGCTTAACAGCTCAGAGCTGAGCACTGTTTCCTTTAACTCTTTTAATTTTCTGTTAAAAATACTTAATTTTTATTTTAATGTGTATTTAAAGGGGATTTGAGCACATTAATGCAGTGCCTGTGGAAGCCAGAAGAGGGCGTCAGATCCCCTGGAGCTGGTGTTACAGTTACCATGTGGGTGCTGGAAAGGGAACTCAGATCCTCTGCAAGGGTTGTGTTCTTAACCTGCAGCCAGTGTTCTTAACCACTGAGCCATCTCTCTGGCCCCTCCTCTTTTTTTTTTAAAATTTTTTAAGAAGTTTTAAAAAGTGATTGTTACTGTGCGTTGGTCACACAGAGGTCAGAGAGCAACTTTCAGGAGTCGGCTCTCCTCCTCTACGGTTACATGGGTTCCCCAAGCTTGCACGGCCTCTGCCCACCGAGCACATCCCTCCTTTCACTCTTAAAGGCCAAACATTTTATTTATTTGTTTGCTTATTTGGCCAAATATGCAGCCCCTGGCTGTGTGTCGAGTGTCCACGAGCATGTCGCTGAGGGAGGCCCCAAATCCCCCCATCCCTGCAGGCTGGCTTACTTCATCGGTGAGAGAACTGAGCAGGGTGGATCTCCAGGAGGCTTTTGCTGTTGACTTTTTTTTTTTTTTTTGCTCTATGAATAAGGAAAAATGAAATGTTTCATAGTGTTATCGCTCAGCTTTTACACAAAATGGGGGAATGGATTATATCTGAGAATAAAGGAGATGTAAACAGATTTGAGCAAATCTAACCCAACGATATTTTCATTTGAATAGTGAGTGAGTTCTTGAAAGCCATTAATATCGTTTTTAAAAAAAGCACTGTGCAGTATTTTTGAATCTCATCATTGTTACTTCACTAAATACTTTCAAGATGATGAATAAAACATAAACAAGTGGAATGGGAGCCTGTTACACAGGACGGCTCTAAACTGCAGATGGCTCGTGGTGCGGATCTTTGTGCTTCGTGCTAGGATGATGCTGGGTCAGCCACCCTCTCCCCGAGTGTGGCTCACAAGCGCATGAGCCTGAAGCTCACTTTGAACCAGTCTGAGGAGATGTGGATTGGGGTCACCCAAATGAACAATCCAGTGTTGGGAAGGGCATGAGTAACAAAGATAGAGAAGACGAATTTCTGGGGGCTGGAGAGATATTTAATGGTCAAGAACATGCACTGCTCTTTCAGAGGACCCAAGTTTGGTCCTCAGCTCTCAAATGATGTAGCTCCCGGGATGTGACACCCTCTTCTGACATCTATAGGTGCTGTACACACATGTACACACATACAGAGATGTATATAAATTCATATAACTAAAACTAAAACCCTTGAAAAGGAAATAAATTCCTGGGTAAATTGAAGCTTTTACCTATTGGAATGCAATAAACCAGATCATCGTCTGGGTTCAGCTGCTTTTGGACCTTGAGAGTCAGCAATTCAGAGGGGACTCTGAGTTCAAGTTCAAATGTAGCTCAAGCAAGAAAGAACAGGCGAGTCTGTGCCTGTATCGACACAGATGTACCACAACTCTTTTTAGTCTTAGATAAAATTCCTGTTTCTTAAGTCTTAAAATAATAATAAAAAATTATGCACATGTATTTGGGGGAAGGGATTATATCCGTGGTAAGTACAGTGCCCTTGGAAATCAGAAGAGGGCTTTGGATCCCCTGGAGCTGAAGTTACAGGCAGTTTGTGAACCATCAGATGTGGGTGCTGCGAACTGCATTCAGGTCCTTTGCAAGAGTAGTCCATGCTTTTAATTGCTGTGCCGTCTATGCAGCCCGTAGATAAAACATCTCAAGATAAAACTAGGAAATGAAGGCCGGGTGCATGCCTTTAGCCCCAGCACTCGGGGGGCAGAGGCAGGTGGATCTCAGTGAGTTCTGGTCTACAGAGTGAGCTCCATGTCAGCCAGAGCTGCTACACAGAGAAACCCTATCTTGAAAAACCAAAACAACAACAGCATCAGCAACTAAGAAATGAGCAATATATAACACTGTGTTCATCTGTGTACATGTGTTTAGCTGTGCACACACATGTGAGTGGAGGCCAGAGGCCAACCTTGGGGGTCAGCTCTTAGGCACCTTCTACTTTGCTTTATTTAGAGATCTCTCCTAACCTGGAATTTACCCATTTGGTTAGGATGGCTGGTCAGAAAGCCCCAGGGGTCCTCCTGTCTCTGCCTTCACAGGTCTGGGATTAGCAGTCTGCCTCCCAGCACCCAGCTTTTTATGTGGGCACTGGGGATTAAACTCAGGTCCTTATGCTCGCAAGGCAAAGCACTCTAACTGCTAAGCTATCTCTCTACCCCAATGTAAAGCATTAAAAAATAAAATCTGATTTCTGACAATGGTTTCAAGGGTTGGAGAAAGCTGTGCTGGGATGGATGAGCAGCTCTTAGAGACTTGAATTAGGTGACACACATGTAGATGCCAGATCCAGCCGGGAGGCACAAAGACAGAACATAGCTGTCCCCTTCCCAGCTCCCTGTAGGAATCTGCTCATGCTTTCCTACTGCCACACTGTTGTGAACTTGACCTTGGTACACGATGGCAGTCAGCGGCAAGGGTGATGAGAGCTATCCTTCCCCTGGGCAGTAGTGTGCCCTGCTAAGGTCTAGGGTTCTGTAGAAAAAGGCAAACATTTCTGGGCCAGGGACCAATCAGCAGTGTTGCTCACACAGAGAGCTCTTAGTGACAGGAGGCACCTCTGGTGGCCATCAGAGATGGACTGGCCTGTCTCACCATGGAGATGTCATAGTGTCCTCTGTCTCTGGCTCGCTGGTGAATTCACTGAGAACAGAACACTGCCTCTAAGTCTTACTGGGTCATCTCTGGACCCAGCCGAGTGGCCTTGTTGATTATACAGCTTTGTTGGCTTGCAGGGGCTGGATAGTGAGGTGAAGTGTTCCTTCTTTCTTCCTCGTTTTGGACTGTGGGTGCAGACTTTGGATCTCCTTCCCAGCATAAGGAAAGCAGGGACAAGGGTGACTCTTTCCTGGATGATGATGGCACGGTCTGGTTTGGATAGTTATTGTTTTGCTTTATTTTTGAGACAGGGTCTTCTGTAGTTCAGACTTGCATTGAACTTGATGTGTAGTTGAGGATGACCTTGAACACCTGATCCTCCTACATTCACCTCTTCAGGACTGGAATTAGAGGTGAGCAGCACCTAGTACCTAGTTTGTGCTGTGCTGGTATTGAACGCAGGACTTTATGCATGTCAAGAAATCACTCTACCAGCTGAGCTGCATCCCTAGCCCTGAGTTGGCTGTTCAGATTGGGGTGATGGGACAGTGACAGAAACATGACAGTCTCAAGGGCAAAGGGAGGCAGACACGGCTGCTGCCTTTGAATCCATAGGTTTCTGTTATGGTGGCACACTCCTGTGAAGAGAAGAAGACTTTAGCTCTGAGACTGCAAGTCACACATTTAAATTCTGAGGAAAATATTTAGTATAGTGGAGGAAAATGAGAAGCAAAGTGGCTCCTGCATCCCCTGAATACCTACAGAAATTAACCAGCAGCCTTTCATTAATATGCATTTCAATTTTATTTTTAATAAGAGAAGGTAGGGTATAAAAAAATTAGTAACTGATTTTAGGGTTTTTTTTTCCAGAAAAAAAAACCTTAAGATTTATACAGCTGTTTCTCCATCTCCTGTGTATAACTTGATAATCTGTATTGTACTTTATTAATATTGTTGATTTCACACTGGAACTCGGATATAAAGAAACCAATGTGGAGGAAAGAGATTTCATCACAGAGTAATCAGGGCTAGAATTTAAATAGGACATCATTAGCATGGTAATGCATTTTTCCTAGTTCTACAGGCTGCCAGAGTAGATCTGGGTCCACAGCTGGTGAGGCTTTGGGACTCCCTGTTGGGAATCATTAGGTTCAGAAAGCAGTTTCCAGGGAGAAGGCTAAAGGGCAGGATTTCATATTTTGGGTTGTTGGTCCACAGCCTCCTGCTTAACTCAACCCTCTTTCAAGAACTGGGGAGGTGGAAAGCGCATGGGATGACATAAGAGCAGTGACATGACAATTTTCTACTGATGGTTTGAGGTTGACCAGATGTCCACATGGACAAGACCTGCATTTAACTTTGGATTCCCTCCTAAGTTCTAAGCTTGAATTAGCCACCAGAAGGAAGTGTGCTGAACTGAAGGGATGTGGATTCTTTTCACGCTGATGTCCAGGGTGCAGCCCTGCAGAGGTTTGTTTGTGTCTGTAACTGT